AATTTCATAATTCCGCGATTGAAGAAGTCTTCGTCCCTATTGGTAAAAAACTTGACCAGCTCATTTTCACAAGCCTCTCTTTAGGCCAGTTTTGTACCATCAAGAAAATTTTGCAAATGTTTGAAAAGGTGATAATCGCTTGGTGCCAAGTCTGGACTATACGGCGGGTGCAATAAAACCTCCCATCCAAGCTCTCGAAGCTTCTGGCGCGTCGTTAATGATGTGTGCGGCCTGGCGTTGCCTTGATGGAACACAACACTCTTCCTATTGGCCAATTCTGGCCGCTTCTGGTCGATCGCCTGCTTCAATCTGGTCAGTTGTTGACAGTAGAGGTCCGAATTGAATGTTTGGGACGATGGGAGCAGCTCATAGTGGATGATTCCTTTCCAATCCCACCAAACACACAGCAAAACCTTCTTGGCCGTTAATCCGGGCTTGGCGATCGTTTGGGCCGGCTCACCGCGATTGGACCACGATCTTTTTCGGCTGTTGTTCTCGTATGTGACCCATTTTTCATCACCAGTCACCATCCGCTTCAAAAATGGGTCGATTCGTTATCGTTTCAGCAAAGAATCGCAGGCATCAATTCGGTCCAAAAGGTTCTTTTGCGTCAATTCGTGTGGCACCCATACATCGAGCTTCTTCTTGAGACCAGCCTTATGCAAATGGTTCCAAACGGTTTTCTGGCTAATCTTCAGTTCCTGGGCAATGGAATAAGTGCTCACATGCCGGTCCGACTCGACGATTTCCATGATTTTATCGACATTTTCGACGATTGGCCTACCAGAGCGTGCCTCATCTTCGACGTCCATATTACCAGAACGGAATCGTTGGAACCACCGCTTTGCTGTTGCATTCGATACTGTATTGGGTCCATAAACAGCACAAATTTTTTTGGCCGTCTGCTTCGCCTTTTCACCTTGGTCGTAGTGGTACTGAAGAATGTATCGAATTTTCTCTTTTTTTACCTCCATTTTGGAACGCTATTACACACAACTGGCTTGACCAAACACAAAACTGTCACATAACTTTTTTTGAAGCGTAATGTCATCTTTAAATCGCCGTATAGTATGACCCGATGCGATGTATACATCGTGAGATATGGCTCACTAAAGACATCTAGCGGAAAACGCTCAGAACTTTTTACTTCACCTAATATAAGGGTTTTATTCGTTCAGTACTGGACTGGGGCGGAGTGGTGTTAACAGACGTAGGAAGGCATCTTCTCTTGCAGATTGACCGCCATTCAGTTTGCAGCCATTAGAGCAGTACTGAGTTTTATGAGAACCATCCCAATCAACGTCTTGCTGGATCAGACTGCCGAATGGCCTCTTGAGTGAAGGAGGCCGCCGCTCCTTCTCACTCGGTAAATTTCTTATCAGAATCTTCAAGGTCCCCAGAGATCACCTCGCTCTCCTGATTAAATCCTTCTCAAACTCCAGAAACAATAATTCCTCAGTAAACATTCATCTTATCCATAAGCCACACATCATACATATATACCGAAAATTGAAACACCATTTTAACAACTTATGGCTTCTGTCCACAGGACGCGGAAACGCTTGCCGCACGGTGAAAGTTTGCGCAACAGCCAATCAATATGTTGTTTTTCCGTAAGAGCTACAAGGTTATTACGGAAAGCAGCATATTGATTGGCTGTTGAGCGAACTTCCGCCGCGCGGCAAGCGTTGCCGCGTTCTGTGTGCAGGAGCCATTAGAAAGTAGAAAACTCCCGGGCTATCTAGGATTCCCACTGCCTGTACGCTTCTCTAAGATTTACGTTGACCTCCTCAAATTTAAATATCTAAATGAATACCGAAAAAAGTCGATAATTTCTATTATAATGGCAACAGAAAAATATCAATCGTGGATCAATAAACCGAATTTCAAACTCTTTCATTAAGTCATACAACTTAACTCTTCACTGATGGCTCAATCAAGGAAGATGGAAGCGCCGGCTTCGGCTATGTGCTTTCAACCCTGAAATTAGGGAATCAATTCACGTGAGTAATTCTCACAACATTTTTAACGTCGAAGCGCTGGCAATTCTGCATGTCATTCATTTAGTGGTCTCCATGAATTCTCCAAGAGTCGGAAATTTTTCGGACTCTAAAAGCGTCCTTGAGAGTATTGCCTTTTTGGATACACACGGTTGCAAAAATGGCCTATGCTACGAGATAATATACCAAATCTTACATGCAAGAAAGAAAAATATATCGATTACCCTTATCTGGATTCCGGGGCATAGGGGAATTCTTGGAGATGAATTAGCAGACTTGCTGGCGAAGTTAGGAAGTGATAATTAGGATTAGAGAAGTGAACTTTCTTTGGATAACAAAATTTCTCCTGAAGATCTGGAACATATTGTTAAATTGAATTCTCAATCAAACGCACAAGTTCCTAGAATATCAATTTGAATACAAGGGCATCAGATTAAACACCTATCTTCAAAACCTTGGTTCAAACACCTATCCGGGACTGACGATAACTACGTTATCTCTCTGATAGCCAGAATATGCTCACACCACATCTCATCGGGTACGCATCTTAAGGACAAAAATATTATTGAAAGCAATCGCTGCGAATATGGGGAAGGCTCACGGGATTGGAAACACATCCTGTTCAATTGTCCCAAACATATTGATAAATCTGACAAATTCATAATCTACAGAAATTGGATTTTTTTACGCAAAATGATTTATTTACCGCTGCCTTTAAGAACAAAACCGCATCTTTAAAAGGATCTCGCTATTCCTGAAACTCACGAAGCAATCTCTAAACTCACTACCAGCCCATCCCAACTAAAAACTGGGGAACTAGATACTTTCTGATAAACAGCTACCAACATAATACCAGTCTCCGCCATCGACAAGCAAGAACACATAAGCTGCGTTCTTTTATTCGCAACAGATGCAGCTGATGTCATGTTATCCTTCGATTTTACCGAATGTTAAACAAGGATAGAATGACATCGGCTGCATCTGTTGCGAATAAAAGAACATAGCCATAATGTTTGTCGCGTCGCATGCCCCAACGTGCTCTTACTTTCTCCAATGCATTCTGATTGGTTCACGTCACCACGCGGGTCAATCAGAGTACGTTGGAGCGAGTAGGAGCACGTTGGGGCATGCGACGCGAACAAAACTATATATTATACTATTTCGGGAAATGGTGTTTGAGAATTAACCCGAAAGAGTTCCGAGAACCAGTATTGAGAGAGAGAGAGAGAGAGAGAGAGAGAGAGAGAGAGA